AAAGAAAAGAAATGTACCAGCAAACTTTAGAGTATGAGATATCTCAGGTTGCATGGAGAACAATGACATCCAGTGATGCCCCTATTTAATCTTCACACAATCTTGACTTGCTTCTGCAAGTAATACAACGCAATATGGAAAACTTTCTAGGCTTTCCCTTCGTTAATGGATCTTATTCTTCTTTCAGATGTTAACAAAGACTTTTTCTGTCTGATGTTTATCTTATTCTATGACTCTCCTTTGCCACCGCTTATAATTTTGTCACTGCATTATCTGACTCTTGCGAAACTTTGGACTTCTTAGAAAGACAGTACACAAGACAGCATTCTTACAGATAAACATGAAGGAAATACATCACTAATGTAGACCAAATTTATTTGAACACAATACATTTCTTACTTGTTCTTGATTTTAACCTCTAGATAATAATCCTGGACGATATTTCATGAAGACTACCATAAATCCATATTATTATGATAAAATGTTAAGCCTTTTAAACGATGCTCTCATATATGTCCATTATCCTGATTCTAATGATAACTTTGCTGCTTTACTAAATTCCAGCTGCTCAGCTCAGTACCTCAGTCCTGGCTGCAGTCTGGCAGCTCCCTAACTACAGGGACTCTTCCAGTCTGCCGTGCTTAGTGACCAGGTCTTCACATCCATTCCTTCAGAGCTACCACAGACACAGTGGTCTGTTCTATGTGCACTCACTCACTTTCACGAACATCAGTGTTACTCAATTTGGAAGTCAGCACATGTTCAGATATAATAGAGTAATTATTGGTGGGCTAGAGACTGAATGGGGCATGTGCAGTGAGGGAGATCTCCTAGCTGTATGGGTATAGCTCCGTTATTCTGAATGGAGGTTGGAGAGTTCATTGAGCTAGAAAACCCTTCGTCAATATCCTTTGAGGTAAGGTCGGGTATACCATACTTCCTGAGGTTCTTAATTTATTCATATAAAGGTTTAAGATCTTGTTTAAACAGTGTAAGATAAGCTGTACAGGAAAGAAATTGTTAGAAATTGTTCATTTTCTAATAAAGGTTGCAACTCTGGGGATATCTAATTTTTTCAGTTAGAATTGCTCTTGAATACATGCAACAAGTCTGCTAGACACAACAGCCCAGTAGTGCAACTTCTCCTCATCTGTTACTTTTCCAGGAGATTGCCCGTGGTGGTGCAGCTCTGTGGGTTCTGCTCTAGCAGGTGACAATGCTCTCAGCCCCTTGGCTCCTTCTTCCTGCTCTGTTTCTAGCTGGACTGGAAAATTGCTCCCTTCTCTCAGACTAAACTCCCAGCAAGTGAAGCTGTGTCAGTACGACGTACGAAATGACAGATCTATCCCTGTGCCATCCACTCCACCATCTGATCACCATTTCAACAACGTGGACAGGCAAGTGTTGCACAACCCACCTCCAGAGGCCATCAGTTTCAAAACTGGCTCATTGACTCTATTTGTGACAACTACTTAGAATGTGCATTATTTGCATTTATAATGCAGTAGCCGACCTATTTAGGGTAATAAGGCTTTTCACCCAGGACCGCACATATTATCTACTATCCCATGAAAGCAGAGACTTTTTCAGAAGTAGGCAGCTCCATTTTAAAAATAAAACAATGAAAAGATTATTTAGCTTGATGCTGCAGAGGTACTGTCCAGGACAGGTACAATAAAGAATCTTTTAGCGCAATTCTGTAAAATAATTTATTTTGCTGTTTTAAATACCCAAAATTATAATGCACTACTTTATTTTAAAAAAATCACAACTGTTCTGTAGATGAGGTCAACCTGGACAAAAAAAATCTTAGAAAATTTTTAACAGAAATTTTGCTTTTTCAACTCTGGTTCTCTTTTCCACTGTTTTTTACTCATTGTTTTCATATTTTGTACTAGTTTTAATTCCTTCCAAACAAAACTTCTTGATATGTGAACTCACTCAAAGAAAATGTTTGGTTCAGGACTAGTGTCTTGGAATTATCTGTAGCACAAGTCAAGTTCTGTGTTTTCTGATACATGACACATCTAAGTTTTCAGGACCTCAGAATTATGGCTGACCTGACTGGTGGATGTGCGGAATACATCACAGCTTTTCACGGAAGACCTAAAGATTAATGTTATTTGGAATAACCAGACTCTCTTGTTACTCTTTCACAAATTAAGAAAGTGGCTTTTTTTATTAAGATATAGCTGATTAACTACAAGACTTCTTCAGAAACCGATGTGAAATATACTTTGCAGTTAGCACAGAACAGCACATGCAGTCATGGGTAATTTTTCGTACTAATTCCCTGAAAATCAATAGAACAAATTTTTGCATAAACAGTTGCTTGCACTGACTTATTAATGTACTTTTTCTAAGTAATTATTGTATAAGAATATTTCACAATGCATCATTTTACTGACATATTCTGCATTTTTTTAAATCTACACAAATAATGGCTGTAAAGTGGAATTTGAGACAATAATATTAAAGGACATTGCTCTGCTATAAAGTTGTATTTACTGGAGTCCATCCTCAAGGAGTTCACACTAGCTACCCTCACGTAAAAATCTGATGCACAAGTGAGAAATTAATTTTATGTACTTTGCCTTGCATCTCACTCACATCAGGTATGACCTGTTCACCGTTTCGTGTAATTAATAATTTCAGTAAGGCATAAGAGCGTTTTCTGAAATACTTCTGTAGTAAAATCTATAACATACATTAATCTATAAGCACAGTTCTACCAGTATGAAACTATTTGTAGCAGTGGAGCGTGTTTTTCTTGTCTGTATAGATATAACATGTACTGACTGAAGCACATTTGTATAACTATATGCAAGGTGGGTAGATGGAAGCTTTTTACTATAGTGGTACACTCACACTGATGTGACTCTAATATGCAGACAAATCTTAATGCTGTGCTATATCACTTTGGCCTGTAGAGTGTTTGTAGCACATAAATCAAACCAATTTATAAAGGTCTTGAGGCAACCCTTTATATCTTGTTATACAACACAACTTGTGGTTTGTAACAGTTGAATACACTGGAAAACACAAAAGCAGCTAGACCACAATCATGGGAAAAGATGCCAGAGTAATAAATGTGTCTGGGATTGTGTTTCTGGAGCACAACATCACCAGTTTTGTTTATTGACTCTTACCTAGTTTAACAATCACGAGAGAGGAAGAGAATTTCTACATCTCGTATTGTGATTAGATTGACACTCCTGAGTGGACAAAGTCATATATGAGCTGATTTTTTTTTTTTTTTTTCTGTTTCCAGCAATGACATTGGTCTTCAATCAAAAATCTCCTGTATAATCTGAAGTCTGTATAAGAAAGTTGTCCAAGATACACCTTTATGTTTAAGTGTATTTAACAGAGAAATATAGAAAATTATGCCTTGATCCATGCCATCGCATGGTAATACCATTAATATCTTTGCTTTTCTAAAGCATAAAAAAGAAAAGCCTATCAAGAATAAGAATGAAAAACAAACTTCCTGTCTCTTCATAGACACTTCTGTCATAGGAAGAAACGACAAATACTTTGAGAAGCAAAGGTAAGCCAGTATTGTATGTTTCTATGTCATGTGACAAGTTTGTTTCCAAAATGTAGGCATACTTTTAATAAACACCAGGTCTTGTTTTTTGCAGGAGCAGTTATAAAACATACTGTCTTAATATTTACCACTAAAAGATGACAAGACTTCTTTCACTTAAATTAAGGGTATCATGCCACATAAAAGCAAATGCTTTGATTGCCATTATACCATAATCACTACGCTGCTATGCAGGGAAACATTCCTGGAAAGAATTATCTGTTTTGAAACTCTAGCTGAATATGTTTCTGTATGTTAGTAAAAACAAATAAAATAGGACACAGATAAAATAGGAAACAGGAAAAAACCCTGAGAGGCAGCAGAGCTTACCTGACCACTTCTCAGCAGATCTGCTGCTTAGCTGTCCAGTGCCTGTGAGTCCCTGAAATAGTGAGACAGAATAAACTCAATGTAACTATCATGTAGCCTACTAAATTCGCTTTTAACACTTCAAGCAACAAAACATACGCTTCATAAACTATTCAAAAAAGAGCTAGCATGCAACTCCAGCTGCAAGAGATTTTGTTCACAAACTGAACAGCAATAGGCCTGTACTTTATTCGCATCAAAAAAGTAAACCAATCACGTTGACAAAAAGCCACTGTAAACAAAAAGACCGTATATAAAGGATTAATAGTTTTGGCATCCCTACTATCAAGTCTTCTGTTCTTTTTGTTTTTCATCAAAATTTAGGTTATATATTTGTTGTTAGCAAGAGTTGCATTACTATTATTGTTAATTTTAGTTCTGTTTATTACCTTGAGGGTTATATATTGTAGAATAATTTTGTTGTCACTAGTTAATGTTAATTAGTTGTTTTAATAGCCTATATACCTATTTGTTATCTTTTGGTAGGTTTACTTTTTTAACTATCAGTAACTTAATAACTGAGAATATTTAACATTACTGTTGCATACTCAAAATTACAGAGTTACTATTAGTGTTACCTGTTTAACGTTTAGTCATCCTTTGAGTCCTGCGACATATTTCCTTAACAATCATCAGCCATCAAGTCTGATAGTCTCAAAAGAAATATCAGCCCTCTAAACTGCCTTCAAGGGCGGTGATATTTAGCACTGAAAATTACAAATAAAGTTTTTGAAGTTGAGTACCAGCAACTGGGCAGTGACACTGATGATTTATTTATCAAGACAAATTGTTATACACTACGAAAAATGCAGTCAACGCACTCTTCTGAGTGAAAACAAATAGGTGAATCTATGCAATGCTTACATGTTGAATGGGATATTTAATGTGCGGGGAAACTCAAAGGTTGAAGAACTAGCATTTAGACAGTCTAACAGTGGTAAGTGGTAATCTTACCTCTTTAAACTCCATTACATTCTCACGAGAGACATGCTAATACAAACAAGTCAATCAGAGTTTGTGTTTAGCAAGATCAAGCTTAGAGGATAGTTTAAAATCCATTTATTGTTCTAAAGCATATTTTTCCATTAACATGTTATACATTAGTGGATACTAACCATGATTCATGTAACAGTTTAGATTGTTAACTTTTAAATTATTTAACAACCAGAAGTTATTAATACAACTTTTAAAGTCTTACACAAAAAATCTTAAAACAGGCTTGGGTTCATTTTTGTAATTTTTATATAAAAAACATTTTAGGCATCTCTTGAAAAAGAAATAAAGCAGGCATTTAAAGCTAGAAAACAAGTAATTCCAAATTTAGTTTGTTACAAAAGGTTTCAGCTTTATTGACAAATTATGGCAAACATATTTGACAAAATTATGGTTTCCTATTTAGAGAAGCTTACACATGGAACTTTATGTGATTTTTTTTAACAAATACAGGTTAAAACACTGAACAAATTCAGTTAGCTACATACATACAGTAGCTGCTTGTTTTCAACCCCATTAAAACAGCATTTAAAATTAAATTTACAAACTTAATATTGAACATCTTAATCTAAACTAACATATATTAAAAAAGACAGGTTAAAACATCTTATCTACAGCTTGATTATTGTCTGGTTCAAAAAAAAAAAAAAGGAAAAAAAGCACTTCAGTTTACAGTCTTTCAGCAACCCTAAACAAAAACTCAGCCTTAGCTAGTATGTAGAGAGACTCAAGATCTGTAACAGTGTCATGCTTTTTAAGTTACACACAGCAATGAATACAACCAACAGAACATCACCTTTGAATGGTTTATAGACAATGCTTGCCAAAAGTGTTTTGTCTCTGTTTTTTTAAGTCCGTGTTATAAAATACTACTAATGCCAATGATGTCACTTGAATGTTATAGGAAATACAATTAGTACATAGGATAATAATGAGCAGTAATCCCTAGGATAGAAAAGAAATGGACTATTACTTGTCTTGTTGCTGTTTATGTGGAGACCACAGGCTATTAACTGTCTTTGAGATGAGGTCACAGATGAGGAGGACCTTCAATATCTACCATAGGGGTGTTCCCTGTAACCCCCTCTGGCTGACCTTGGAGGTGGTGCCTTTAGGCTGGAACGGGTTGTGGCCCATTCTTCTTGTGCTAAAAAACAGAAGAGAAAAACATGTTTTGTAAATATCTAAACTTGAAAGTACAAAGTGATACCACTGCTAATGGCTGTCAAAATTCTCGAGGGTCTTGGCTGAAAGCTTTAGAAAAATAAAATGAGCATGGTGTTATGATCCATTTCCTTAGACTCTCACAAAAACTTATGGAAAACTAACCTTCTACTTCTCTACACAGACAACCTGTCTATCTCAGGATGAAAAAAACCTTACTCTTTCATGAAAAAAAATAGTATCTACTGTGGTGGCAGTACAGCTAGCTCTGGAAAAATGACTGCACCAGCCTGCCGATGTTTTGAGCATCTAGTATTTAAGTTAAAGCACCAATGTGAACAACATTTAATGCAGTTGGTATGTTAATAAGACGAGGAGTTGAATCATGAAGAGATAATAGAAATACATTTGATTTTTTACTTCCATTCGAGAACAAAAGAAAGAAAATAATGGAAGAAAAATAATGTGTATAAATTAAGCTACTACATTAGGCAGAAGAGATTTGCCAAATAGTTTCTACTTTGCATTATCTCTAGAACATTTTTTCAAATTTGTGTGAATGAAATATGCACAGGAAGAAGAACTTAAAAACTGCAAGGCTAGATTAGTTTTTACAAGACTTCTACAAATCATCCCTCGCCCTGGCCCCAGACAAGGTATTTCTGGAAGTTCAGCCTTCCAAAGGAGCAAACAGGGAGCTACCTACAGTTGTGGTCCAGTGGTTGAACCCCAAACCTGAACTCTCTCCTAAATCAGCAAGCGGATCATCAAATGATTTCTGGTTTTGTCTTTCACTGACTTCAACTGATCATATACACAGTGATTAAAATGGAAATGCAGAAATCACAGTATATCATCTATCATATATCACACCATAGTGCAACATTACCTCTGTTACAATAGTCATCGAATACATCTGACAAACACAGGTTCAAGAGGAAGTATGAAGATCTCTACGTATAGCCCCCAAGTTACATGATAGTCTGTCTGTGTCTTTGCAATGAAATATAGAAGCTATTCAGAAATCAGTGTGGCAAGTGTTAGTTATTTTCCATATTGTTTTATTTTATTCACAATCAGCATGTTTGTACTACAGGTATGCGTAGAATATTAACGTTTGTAAAATATGAACGTTAAGGGTCAAGCTTTCTGATGCTAGGGGAAAAAAGAACACTTTTTAAGTTGTACAAAAAACATATTGAAAAGAGAGGAGTTTAAAAGATTGGAAGGTGACTTGAAGTCAATGCGAAAGGAAAAGGAGGATTCCTATTCATGATGAAACAGTATACCTGTTGTTGCTATCAAAACAAAACTAATTGATTGGTATATTAAAATAGATCCTTCTTCCTAAGTCTAAAGCAGAGCTACTTTATTTCATCTATAAATAGGTAACACAGTAATAAGCTGAAACTGTTCTTGTCCCATAAATTTAAAAATCCAGTTGTATCTGTTTTTTATGCCTTGATTCACACAAAATTTTTTAAATGCCTGTCGAAGAAATTAACATTTCAGAATATATTTTCTTTGTTCAGGTCTTGTTTTACACTTTTGCCACCCCACTCAGCCACCAAGTATTGAAATGAGTACTCCTGACTCAGCATGGTCAATAAAATTCATGTATATGGAACAGAAATGTGAAATTTGCTGAACTCCCAGGTATAAGGGGATAATCTCTGAGCCAATGTGGGACATACTAGCTATGGTGAGCAGGGGTAAAGATATTCGTTGCTCGTAGCCAAGAAGATCATATTTTTACTATGTTTTTCATGTTACATGCAGCTTTCTCATGTATTTTAATAAACCAAGCAGAGACATTCTTGAGTTCAGTCTGATTCCTGATGTACCTCTAGAGTGAATCCAACCTCAGTCAATTTTTCTTTTTTTCTTGTATTCCATTGCCACTACTGGAAGAACAGAGTGAGCTTTCAAGTGTCATGTCACTGATACAAAGCAGTGATGGATTCCTAACTTTTAAAAGGTAGTGTGTCGCAATTCACTCAAAGCATTGAAGAATTATGTTCAATTTTTAAACAGAACTACCTAAACAAGTGACCACAGCTTTCTATGCAAAATAAAATACACAGGCTAGTACAGGAAAGTATTAAAAATCAAAATTGTATTATTCATACATTTCAGTGAAGGCTAAGTACATTGCCTCAAAATTAGTCAGCTACTTGATTAATGAAGGATGGCCTTAAATATAAAAAGGAACTGAATAAAATCTTCATCTCCATTAAGGTATGTCAAAGATTTTCTTTTATTAAAGCAAGATTCTAGAGTGATAGCAACATTTTCCTCTCAAGCAAAGATTTCGTAAATATACCTTCTAGAGAAGAACAAGAGTTCAGCAGAAGGTCCATGTTTTGATTGCTTTGGGTTCAGTTGCTATAGATAACTTACTAAAGTTCAGTCTTCACTAGTTTCTTCTTAAATAGTTTATTCATACCATTCGGTTACGATGAGCTTAAAATAACAACACTCCCCAGTGAAGCTAACACATACAGAGGCCTTTGTTTCTCTTCTGCATCTTGATTAATGTGTTAATTGCTAATAATATAAAATTCCAAATACATGCCAGTGATATTGTTGCACAGTACAAGCACAGAAAAATTTGTTTGGATTTTTCTTTTTATATGCATATATTAGAGTCCAAGTTCCAAACGAATTTTTGAGCAATATGGTGACATCTTAGCTACATGTATGAAATGATATGCTGATGTTACATTTTCATTTTACTATTTCCAAAACCTTTACATGACAATACACTTTACTGTCAGTCATACCACACTTTTAGCCCTAATACAGGAAGTATGTAATTAAGTAAGTTCAAAACCCCATCCTATTAGCAGAAATTTTGAGAAACTGAAATCTTACCCAACATAGATAGGACTACATACTGTCCACCCACATATGAAATTGAAGTCACAATTTCTTTCTCTGGGAGGTCAGAAAGTCCTCCCAGGTAAAGGAGAATGAGGTCTCCTGGCCATGGGAGGGAAATTGAACTCTCTCTATATGTTGCATGGGTGGAAAAGTACAAAGACACTGATGTTTAGCTTAGAGAAGGTCCTCCAGAATAGTTGGGGAGCTTCATAGTTGAAGCTACACCATGAACAGAAGCGTGGCAACATTTTGTGTGCCCTCCATTTCAGAGCAAAGCAAAATGGGTTAGTTCAAATCTACACGGAAGGTAAATTCATGTTTCACCCTGCACTGAAACTAAGAGGGCACTCACATCTTTGGTTAAAGTTAAAAGGTGGATTCATAAAACACCTTTTCAGTTGAGACATGGTCAGTGACTGCATTAGTGAAAATAGTCTTGCGTTTTTAAATGCAAAGTAAACCACATTGACTAGAAATGGTTCTCAGGGTCAGACACCATGTTTTAGTTGAGAAGCAGTAACCAAAACCTGAGAGCTTATGGAACAATATAAACTCCAGCAAACGCTTTACTCTGGCAGTCACCAAGGGACACTGGTGACTGGAGATATTGCCAGTGATGGAGCATCAATTTTTTTCCCCCAAATTATCACAGGACAGAGCATGATTTATACTATGCAAGGATTGTTTGGTGTCAGATTATTTATTAAAGTGTATTTATTTATTCACTTCATTAAAGTGAATTTTGAGTGTGAAGGGTCAGTCGGGTCACAAGATCATAGACCAGATCCAGACCCACAGCCCAACCAGCAGTGTAGGCACAGACAGTATTATCGCATGTTGGCATCATGTTGAATTGTGAACGGGCCCAAATGCAGGTTGGAGAGGATGCTTATTTCCTTCCTCTTATCTTCTGATGACTTTCATCTTCTCCTCTGGGTACAGGTATTACTGGCCCACTAACTTCCTCACCTCAGATACTCCTTCAACAAAATCAACTGTATTTCCCAAGACCAAGGTGTGAATTTGCCCCTCCAATAACATCAGAGCTGTCAAAGAGTGTTTAAAATTTTGTGATGCAGATTGCTTTCCAGTTTTGGTTTAAGATAGTCAACCATTAGTAATGTACTGGTTATTCTTCTAGTGTCAATAAAGTATTCTATATCTACTGACCTCATTGTCCAAACTTTATTTTAAAAAGGAATAAAAACATTGTTGATGTGAAAGAATTATTCCTTCTGGTCATTCATCTTTAAAGTTCAAAAGTTGTCGCTGCCCATTTAAAATTTTTTTTTATAACATTTAAAGACTTTTAAGACTTTAAAAATTCTCTCTGAATAAATGAAATTCATCATAGGTGCACTTTCATTTAGCAGGAAAAAAACATAATAGCACCCTTAGAAAATCAGAATACCTGTAGTTTTTTTACCTAATTAGAGTATCTAATGTTGCTACAGATCTACAGCCGCAAAAAAATGACCCGTATTCTGCTATAGACTCCAGCAGTGAGCAGAGGTAACAGAAAAAAAGTTTGACTGAACCGAAGCATTTCAGTTAATGAGCCTGTTGATTTTTAATGGGCATGATTTTACTGCTGGTATCTTGGTTTTTGCTAATCACTGCTGACTTTTGTGGCCAGTAAGAGAATAATTAGCTGACTCTAGACTAAAATACTGAACAGTTAAAACAGGTCTTAAAGATTGCTTTTGTAAAAAGATAATGCTCTATGAAAACAGAAAAATGAAAATGTAAAACATAAAAAGACTGTTAAAATTCTGAAAGCTATTTCTTCTCTGTAAAATATCTTCTCTGCAACTACATTATGTTGTTGTCTTGGGGTATGAGAGGAAAGCTTGGGGAGGGGGAATACCAGCTGCAGAGCTAAACTGAGGCTCAGGCTAGCTAGGAGTAGCTACTACTACTCCTAGTATTAGGAGTAGACACTTCTGCAGAAGATTTGGTAGCAGCTGATCTTGCAATGGAACAAGAAACATTCCTGTTGTGATTTTTTTGTGCACTCCATTTATTCTCTTTTTCTTTGAGCTGCTCAGGATGTTCTCTTGTTGAATATGAGGGCTTTTATGGCCACACGAAACCAAAGTT